GAATACTATAGTAGTATGTAATCAAATAAAATTTTAATGCACCTTTAAACTATAATAAATATATTAAAAAACATCACATACATTGCTTAGATTCCAAGATGAGCTAAAGTATCCGTATAATGGAGTATCTGAGACAACGAAGTTACCATAACATCCAGACCTGAGACTATGGGGAAAAGCGCATTTTCTACATTGACCCAACCGGGAATCGAACCCGAGACTTCAGCGTCGAGGTCGTCGTCTTACTATTGTTATCTTAGTTATATCATAGTAGTTTTTCATAAACAGGACAGGATTAAACCTAAATTTAGAGTTTGGTCCAACAAAACTGTTACCAATGTCAGAGTTTAATATTTTGTTATGGCTTGCTTTCCGACAGCGGCTTCGTCCGCTTGGTTCTGTTTTATACATATAAATAATTCTCTTGAATAGCACTGTATATCGGTGGAAACCGTATTCGAATCCGATGTTTACCTTTAGATACACCAGCGTACAGACAACGGTATGTGACAATGTTTTAAACTATGTAAAGATTTTAATTTTGAACCGCTAATCCAAGTTTCTAAAGAAGCCCAGCATTAAAACTAGCCATACAAATATATCCTTATTTTCCAGTCACCCTTCGAAAAGTTTCTTGCCATCAAGATATTATTGTTATTTTATTTATGTAATCTAAGCAAGCTTTACATTCAAACGACCCCTTCCTGAAATCCTTTGAGATGTTACTGCAAATTGCATGTTCCGCGTCAACTGTGCCATGGAACAGATGTAATTTTACAACTGAATAATCTGGATAACGTATTTATATTTTCCTGGGCATATTCAAAATATAAACAGAGTTTTGAATAGTTGAAAACTTTTTTGTTCGGTCTTCCATAATTTACCTTAAAAAAAAGGAAATATTAAAAAATGGACATTAAGATCAATTAGTTAATATGTGAATCTGAGACGATACTAAATTTCTTTAATATCTAGGTGAAGTAGTTGCAAAATGTATAGATGTGTGCACAGGTGCAACCACCATTCACTTTGCTGTAAATAAATTTTCCGTGGGAGAACCACGCTTCGGCATGAATGGGCCGGCTCGACCGGAGTGATACCACGGCCTCACAGAAAACCAACGTGAAGCAACGCTTGCGTTGTGTTTCGTCGTGTGAGTGAGGGTACCGGAGGCCCAACCTCTCCCTATTCCCTTCCCTCTTCTCCTCAACCCTTCCCTCCCTATGATCATATTCGTCCCTCAAAGGCCGGCAGCGCGCTTGTAGCCCCTCTGGTGTTGCAGGTGTCCTTGGGCGACGGTAATCACTTACCATCAGGTGATCCGTCTGCTCGTCTGCACCCTATCCCATAAAAAAAACATATATGCACGTTTATACAAGCGACAATAAATCTTACAAGGCGTTATGATATGATGAGATAGATAGTCATACCTCTAACAGTGATGGTAACAGCATTATGCTTAGCTATTTTTTTATTTTAATTGGTTGTTTCGTTAATTCTCTGTATTCAACTACTTGAAAGTATTGTCTGATGAATGCCGTAAATATAGGTTTTATGTAAAAAGTATGTAATAGAGATCGTTTAACTACTTTCTCTGAAATTACCGTTGACTTCACAGAACTTCACTAATAGATGTTGAGTTACAAAACGTAACAAGTCAATTAAGTCTGTCGAAATATCGATAAAAAACAATTACATTTGAAATCAACGCAAAAACAAACGTCCACCCTTATCAAAGCGTCCCGAATCCCGTTCAGATGAGAATCTGGGAGACCGCAATCTATCTTCAGTATTAGTGCCTGTTCACATTAGTGTTTCTAAAGCGGGTGTCTTAATAGCAGCGGATTAAGTTCAATCAGACCTTGTCTTGTCTTGAATCAACTCTCTCATCTGCATTAACACAAGCTATATGCACTTTTATATCCAAACTTTTACATCCATTGTTATTTTTAAACCGCATGTATTAGAGTAAAAAAAAAGATCCCGTATAACGCATCCATGGGCTATTTTTTTCCCATTACCAGACCGCTTTCCTAATTTGATATCATTTATATAGTGCCGATCAGGGACGAAATTTGCGACCGCAATCTAACCGACTTCGGTGGCTAACTCATAACGGTTTTAATTTAACTATTATTGCAAGTCTCTACAGTTCAGTATATTATTGTTATAAGTAATTAGCGATATTCTTTAATCTCTTTACGATCGAGTTTGACAGAACTGTCAGTGATTTCTGCGATCGCTACTTAACGATCGCAAATTCTGTCGAGAATGCAAACCCTAAGCTATTACAGAGGATACATTACAATATGTTAATGAAAAATTATTTTGTGCACTGCTAATCTGTAATAAAAACAGAATCTAAATGTCATAGCATAGAGGTTCAATCAATAAAGGTGACATTTCATTAAATTTCTATTAAGTGACAGCACAAGCTTGACGTTCGCTTATCTGAAATTGCATTGTGTAATAATTTTTGATGTGTAATTTGCATAATAACTCGAACAGAATCTCACCTACAGATAGATTTGATTACTATACATGGTAACGCCAAATAAATATCAGAGCAGTATACATAAAACTGATTACCAGTACGTTGGTTTTTTATAATTCAAAATTAAATGACATATCTTTAGAACCAATTTGTTCAAAGCAACTTTTTCTAGATTGGAAAAAAAAATGTTTCTAGATTCAAAAAATAATTAATTTCAACTTATTTTAAAGCGCTTTTTTGCCAAATAACAGGACCTAATGTGAATTTATGCACCCGCTTTCAGTTTCGTTAGATGATCGCGTTGTTCACGGTTACGAGAAAAGAAGCCATTAGCCATAGCATTAACAAGAGCTTAAATTACTCCTGTAGACAGATGGACGAATAGTAAGAGACACTGACCCTAAAGTTTACGATTGTGATTTAGAATCATACTACAGTTTGTATGATTTATAATTACTGTTGAGAAACACTACTTGCTACCAAAAAGTTTTCAAACTATAACTTTGCCTTGCTTTAACGTCCACAGTTAAAGTAAGTCAAAATTACGTTAGGTACTTTAAGCAAGATTAATATTAGGTGTTTCTGTTGCCTTACAGTCCTATAAATGTAATTTTAATGAAACGCTACAGATGCGCAACTAAATATTATATGAATGCACGCTGAATGAACGATAACAAAAATATACCCTTAATGCGGATATAGAAACACAAGGGTCTATGAAGTGTCGCTGCGCTGTCGTAAAATTGTAATTAACCCTATTTTGACGAGTCATCCACCTCACTAAATGATCATTACGATCGCTATAAAAAACCAACCTGTGACTAAATGCTGTTTTTAGACTAGACACGATGTAGACGTTACTCATCGCCTCTGCGAAATATTTATGAATCGTCTGTTGACTCAATGTTTTAAGTTACTATTTCGGATAGAGAATTTTAAAGTTTATTCTTAAAAAGTGGAGTAGCTCGCGCAAACGTTGTTATTAAGCAATTTTCGAAAGGAATGGGTGACCAAAAAATTATTATACTGAGGTAGTCCGTGCTTTGGAAGTCACTAGCGTGGAGAGTTATTGCCCATCCTTCTTAACCTTCCATAAGGTAGGCCCTTTTTTGATAAAGCAGGGGAAATGTACCTTAATCTTTAAGCCAGGGCTCTCTAACCCCACACCCGTCCTGTAAAGGACAGGTTTCTAGCATTAAGCCTGCCTATCCGGTGGGATGCTACCCGCTCCTACCCGCTGGGAGTACCCTCAGAGGGTGGAAGGATCCGGGGTCTACCAAGGACAGGCTCCTTGTGGGTTCAGCCCCACATCCATAAGGAAGGCCTGACCATGGGGACAGAACAGGGTGGATGATGAATCACAAGAAGATCAATATCAGTCTACTGATGCTTCTCTGCTAAAGCAAAGGCCACACCCGAGCAAATAACTGAAAGTGATATTTAACTCATGCTACATGTCACAAATTATGTATGAGAAGTTGTGATTACCTATATAATCTGGTTTTTGTGAAAACATTCCAGCAATTTTATCTTGAGCAATTTTAATTATAGATAGTATTTTAATAATTGGATTTAACTAAAGAGTTTTAAATTGAAATACTTAAGTAATGGAAAGTTCTAAAATATTTTTAAAAGATTCTGTACTACAAATAGTTACTTCGTATCTACAAAACATCAAACAAAATAGGATTAATATGGAATTTGTTTAGAGAAATAATAAAAAATACAAGCAATATCTTTGAATAAAGCAATTCCAGTGCTTTCTTTGTATGATCTCAGTTGAAGAGTTGTAAAATTCACCTACATTCTTTTACAGTATTTTAGTCAGACCTTACCACGGGAGTTCTTAGATAAAAGTATAATCAAAAGTTAATACATGAATATATCGTTTCTATAACATTTCCAAGTATCGAGGCAAAGTTATACAAATCAGCCTTATTGTTTTTATACATCATGAAATCAGAAACGTCTATTTTAATTATTGGTTAAATGAATACTGTGAAAAAAAAAACATTGTTGATGTGTTCATTAATATTCGAATAAAAATATAATTAAGTTAATATTTATTGTTTTATGTTATTTCCAAAATACAATAATTTTATAACGCCAAAACAAATCATAAGACATATAATATCAAAAATTAGATTTTTTATATAACTTTGTTTGTATTTCATTTACTTAATATTACCAAAAGCGAGCTTCGCAATCTCGTACCCACTTTAATTTACTTTCAACGCGATTATTGGAAATAATCGATATTTTGCAGGCTTCGTTATTCAGCAAGATATCCCTTAGTAAACAATCAGTAAGATAGTCATCACCTACGAGTATTGCCCATAATATTGCATATTATAGGCATTGCAAATATCTGCACCCCCCCCCCCACTCACGTTCCATTCAAAAATTCACAAATGTAATATTAAATTATAATTACCGATATTCACAAGGACTTGCATATTTAAAAATACCAATAGTTATAAATGACACTGTTTTTGTTTGCCTCCAGGTCGGTCAGAGCCGGGTATAGTACCATCAATAGTGGGATTCACCAAAGACTCTGTGGCACAAGAATCAGACCGGTTGGCACCTGGTGACAGGATCTGCAGTGTCAACGGAATATCTACGGCCAGACTTACCAATGACGAAGTACTACGGTTGCTGGATAATGTCGAGGAGAGAGCGTCACTGGAAGTCGAATATTACATGCCTAACTATGGTGAGTCGATTATTATCATTGATCTATTGTATAGGTATGATTATATAGGTAAGTCTTATAACCCCTCTATGTTATAAGTAGCTCGGTGGCGTAGAGGATAAACGCCGCGGCCCGCAAACGTTACTGTTAAGCAACTTTCGCAAGGGTCGGTCACGGGATGGGTGACCAAGAAATTATGATCTCGAGCTACTTCGTGCTTCGGAAGGCGCGTTAAGCCGTTGGTCCCGGCTGCATTTGCTGTCGTAATACCCAGCCAACGTAAAGGGTCATGACCCATCCTGCTTAACCATCCATGAGGAAGGCCTGAGCCCCTGCATTGGGGACGTAAAAGGGCTGATGATGATGAGATAACCCCTTCAGACCATTGGTGGGAGTTTGTGCCTGAAAATACAAGCCGGGTCGTCGTCGACTGTTGCCTTCTTAAAGTACGAAGGAAGTAATAAGTTTAAGTTAATATGCTTTGATCACTTATCCGTAGCTAGCCTCTGCAAAATCCGCTTAGGCTCCACATACTAGGTAGTTAACTGAATTAATACAAAAATTAGAGAATTCAAAATGAGCATCTTGTATACAATGAGTGACCTCAGATTTTAATTTTCATTCAGGGGGTCTTTGTGTGCGCTTCTACAATAAGGTCCTAAGCAAAATACAACAATTAGATATCATGCAGTTTAAATCTACTATTAAAAAAAGTTTATAATGGATGAGAATGCTTGGAATTAAGATGGTCTAGCAATTTTGTAAATGTCATTACTCCTATTAAAGCTGGTAAGTTTCTTGCTCGTTCTTCTTATCAACCAAAAGACGTCCTGAACGAGTAGTAGGGAAAAAAATGTTGGACGATTCAAAAGTACTTTTAAGAAGTCTATTTGGATAAAGATTATTTTGACTTTGACTTTAATATATTATGCAGTAGACAATTACATTTTGGCTAACTAAATATGTGGTTATAGTCATCTTCAGTATGATTGTGCATAAAAGATTTATGTGCGAATATATATAAAATGTAAGGTTGTCCAGAAATGATAATCCCAACACAGTAGTCAATATTTTATTCGGAATGCCGAAATCGTCATCTCTTAACTGTAGACATTTTATCATCATAGACTTATGTGCCTATGCTTTATCGCAGACTACGTAGTCTATGTTTAACTACAGACTACGCAGTCTGTGCTCTATACTTCATAAAGGCGCACATACACTGCAGGATATAAAGTTTGTCTATGAGCAGAAACTTAAGAGGTTTATTAAAAATAGTAACAACACTATCAGCCAATTGCACAAACGTCCTTTAAAATTGACATTAGTATAAAGATTACCCATATAAATTTGACATTCATTAGAGCTTAAAGGCGTCATTAAGCCATAATGGACGTTTGTGCCACTGACCATATAACGAATAAGACTTATGACGAGAGTATAATATAGTCTGCAGTCTATTGAATTAAGAGACGTATAAGGTCACTAATTTTAATCATTTACTAAAATTAATAGATTTCAACCCTATGTTGAACACATACATATTATTTAAAGTCATCAACATCATAAACAACTAGAATATTACATTTTAAAAATACTTATTGAATTTAACTGACATTATTTTAACAATAAAAGGCGACTAGAGCTGTTTCCGCTTTTATTGAACATATTTTAGCCTTTGAATAGGAAGTTCTATAAAATTTTGTTTAGTAACTTAAAGTAGAAATGACTCGTCCTTTTGTTGGCTCGGCTGTCTTTTCTGATACAAAACAGTTTATGTTACTTAACTTTCAGTTGTAATCATGTCACGAGACTCGAGGTTTTTAATAAAACAATACTTCAAGTCAATGCTTGTATATTTTTAAGTTATGGATCATATACAATATATTAGTTAAAATTATTTCTCGTCATGAAATATTATTGTTTCGAGTTTTAAAGTGTTTTTTAAGCTTAGGCAATAATTATGATTCTTACTTGTTATGAGTATCGGCTAGCTTAGTCTTGTGATATGTCACACGCGAGCACAGTATCACCACATAATGCCTAATGCTTAAGCATTTCGATGTATTTACTGTACGTCAGTATAAAGAAGATTCATCGCATATAAAATTGTTTTTTTTTTAACTTCCTCTTCTTCTTTTTTAATTAGTGGCTTATCTGCTCAATTTCGCACAATTCTGCCAATGTCAACTAACTAAATTAATTTTTACATGTAAAATGAAAATGTAGTGAATGAAAGATGGCGATGATCTCAAATTGCGATAAAACAATCATCCACTGCCTCTGTCATGTTTGTCACATATGTTATATTTATTTGTTGTATGTTATTTTACTCTTTGGTTTATGATGTTGTTGAAATAGAATCAGTATCTGATTTTAAACAGACTACTTTCAGGGTGTGCGTTAATTGTGTTACACGTTGTATATGCTGTCATATACATATATATTCTATGTTTTTAAAATGGCTAACATAATTATTTTCCAATCTGACGATATTAAGTTAAAAAAACGGGCTAACTTGTAGCTATTGTTCGTCACAAATTGCACAATCATCTTTATAGTTTATTAATCACTTTAAGCACTAATGAAACTTCTAAATTTGATAACTCATGCCAGTAATGATTTTTAAAACTAATGTTAATTTGATTTATGATCGGTTGTGCAACTGGATGTTAATCGTGATAAAACAATAAAGAATAAATAATTCCCACTTACAGTTTGTGAATATTCCCAGAAGAACTTTAAAAGAAAAAGAGGTCACATTGCTGGCACGGAATTTGATTATTTGAAAGGAGAGAAGAAACTGGATTCAAGAGATCGTTTATTTCGAACTTATTTTCCTTAAAAATAAATCGAAGGTTTCTTTAAATAAACAAGCCATTTATTTATATATCTGCAACTATTATTACATGAAACATTACGTCTTTACTTCTCTCACATCTTTTGCTTTACACAAAACCATAATTAATCGTTACTTTACCAAAACTTTCCTCATGAATTGCTCCATTCATTGACGAAAACCGCTTGGAAATCCGTTTGTATAGATTTAGGTTTATCACTTTCATTCATATTACGTTTGCGATTGTGAATCAAAAGGGGCGTGATAGGAAATTAATTTTAAAACAGCATATAATTGGACTATACTTGCTCTCTGGTATTTTGTTATATAAAAGAGCACTTTAGAACAGTCAAAGGGATTCCTTTCTCGGCATCTTGTAATGAAAATCGAAAATAAAACCAATTTTCTTAGTAATAAGACCCACTCACGCTTGCCTGAGTTTTCAGATACGTTCGTATCAGCTAGAATATATTGGCAATTTTTAGAAAATCAATTAATGGCAGGAGCTCCATGGTGCAGTGGTTAGCGCGTCTGATCTGCCATGCGGAAGTCAAGCAACTTTGATAAGTACCGGTCATAGGATAGGTGACCGGAAATTTACAAGCTTGATCTTCTACGTGCTTTGAAAATCATTTTTAGTTGTCGATTCTGGTTGCATCAGCAATAGTTAATTAATATAGAATTATAAATGCAAAATTGATCAAATATGATTTAGAATACTTAAAAATATTTTTTCGGTGAATTATGTATCTGATTGATAGAAATATGCGTATTAGTAGTACTCTGTAGTACGCCGTACTTAATAGTAGTACACCATTAGAGCTCGGGTAGCTCAGTTAGCGAAAGGTAATGGGTTCGATTCGAAAAAAATATGACGATTGAACAAATAAATACTTAAAAAAAACCGACTTAAACTTTAAAAATATGATAAATAATGCTTATCTCAAAAGCTATTTATTCAAGAAAATGCTGTTGAAGTCGGACGGAGGTCTTCTGTAAGTTATTAATTAAATGATAGACGCCCGAGTTCAATGGCATTTTCTTGAATAAGTAACTTTTGAGATAAGTATTATTTTTCATATTTTAAAGTTTGATATCGGTTCTATTTTTTAAAGATTTTATTTCACGCTTTTTATTGATATTTATATATTTTATATAGTAATAGGTAACGTTAAAAATATAAAATATATAAATAAAAATATTCAACATAGTGAAAGTTTTAGAAATATTCCTAGTTTATTCCAATAATTCTATACTCATATTTTAAAATGAGGAAAGATGATAGCTTGTTTCTTTCATCTCTGGAAAGCTACTTAATACGCGTTGACCATAGGCTATAATTTATGCAGGCGAAGTCGCGGGGAAACAGCTAGTTTGATATAAATTGATTCACAATTCAAGAAGAAATCGATTAACATACCTACTTACATTAAAAAAATATATACATACTCCTTGAACACAGAAAATTCACCTTTAATATTTTTTTAAGTTTTTTTATGAATTCCAAATACGTAATCTTCTATATTTTTAGCTGAAATAGGCCATGTCTTACCATATCAACTAAATATTTGAGTGATATATGGAAAAAAGCGTGCAACGTTTTTTTATAAAAGAAAAACTACTCATTCGATTTCGATAAAATTCAAATGGACCCACCTCGATAAAACATAACAAAGAGATTTTGAAAATCAAGAATTGGCGGAAATATCGGTGAACGTATATTAAAAAAAAATCGATGCATTTTTTTTAAATGTACGTTCGCCGATATTTCGTCGAACATATAACCTCCTCTTTTTGGATTTTGAAGTCAGTTAAAAATATAAAACAAGATTATAGAAGAGGAAAAATGAAAATTGCCAGTAAAAATTTATTTATTTTTAAATGTCGGAATTGCCAACAGTATTTAAAAAAAAAGTAATCCAGTTGATTGAAATAAATGAAAATTCTTTAAAATATCTGATTCAAAAGTCTGGAATATATGGACGAAAAATAGATCGAAATAAATATGTGTGGAATTGATTATATTTTATTGTTGTTAGGTTTCATTTAATATTGAATCCTGATAGAGTTGTCGTACATACTTATTTAATACAATATATTACCTTCTCAATATGTTCATACTAAAATATGCTTATAAACTTTATTAATGAGGTAGTTATGAGTTCGTTAGTTAAGTTATATTAAATAACTTAGTAGCAAGTTTAGAGGATGAAGTAGCATTGTGTCAATATTGTTCTTGTAATTGATTTTGCTAAAACTTTGATAGATTTATTCTGTATTAGGTAATTATATGAGTAAATTTTGTCTTATCCATAATTACTTTACGAAAAGTTTGCGTAAGATAGTGTTTTAATAATTGTTTTGATGATATGAATGAAAATTTTTAAATGTAGTTACCAGAACTTGTGAAACTTCTTCAAGTTTATTAGTACTATTTTAGTTTTTTGGAAAGAAAAACTATTTGTCAGTAGATTGTATTTTCGTTTGTTGTAATTTTACTACGTTATCGGCTGTAATTTAGCCATAGAACCTTGTAATTAATCAAAGCAACCTCATCGATTTTGTGCTTGTTTGATTTGTCTTAATTAGGAATGTAGTCTTAAGATAATATTCAGATTCGAATGATGGATGAAACTGAAAGGCGACATTAGCGGCAGTGACTACTTTGAAAAACTGACTTCAATAAAGCTTGTCTTAAAACATTTTTTAAAGAAAATTGTTTATTTTAAATATATACAACAATATAACAACATGAAAATAAATTTTGGAATATATTTTTTATTAAATGAATAAAAATTGATTCTTTGTTACAGCATCTCAAAATTCCTTATATATTACAACGAAGCTAGCAGAAGTTCCTGTGGAGAAGATAAACGGTTCTTTGGGCATCACCATAAGAGGTGGTCTACCTGAGAATTCCGCGCCAAGCGCAGATTTGGTACTAAATAGCAGATCTTTAGATGCACAACCATTAGTAGTCACCCATGTTAGACCTGGAGGAGCAGCATATAATACTTCCAGAATCAAACCAGGCGACAGGTTGCTAAAAGTGGATCATGTGAGTAAAATTTTGGTATAATTTCATAAACTAAAATGTTTAATTTTTGTGAATAGACTAACAATTTTTAATTCATTTACGTTAAATTTAAAATTTATTTTGAGACTAGCTTTTGCCCGCGACTTTGTCCGCGTGGTAAAGTTACTTGAAGCAGCATTTCTAACGAATATTTATTCATTATATCATGTTAAATACATGAAATAAAGTTTCATCCCCTATTTCATCCCCTTAGGGGTAGAATTGATCAAAATACTTTCTTAGGCAATGCCTACCTGAAAGTAGCTTTATGCATGCAAAGTCTCAGCCCGATCGATTTAAAATTGACAAAATTTCATCCCTTTGTGGATAAAATTGAGTAAAATCCTTTCTTAGCGGACGTCTAGGTCATACTATCTACCTGCATGCCAAATTTCAGCCGGATCCGTGCAGTGGTTTGGGTTGTGCGTTGATAGACCACTATGTCAGTCAGTCACCTTTGAGTTATATATATTTAGATTTATACCTTGTAGGCTTAAATTTAAATTAACCAAGAATTCTTCATATTATACTTTACTTATTTTTTTTCAGATATCATTAACGAACAAAACATTGTCAGATGTTCATCAAATTCTCCAAAATTGTCCTCAAATAACAAGCCTTACCATAGAATACGATGTGTCTATAATGGAATCAGTCAAATTAGCCACAGGACCTTTACTAATAGAAATAGAAAGACCCTGTAATGAGGACCTGGGATTGTTTTTGACCAATCAAAGGTATTCAGATGAGGTGTATAGCACGGGCTCTGACACTTATCAGAGGGTTGGTACGAGTAACGCCATCTATATAGACAGTATACTACCCGCTAGCATTAGTGACAGGTTGGTTGATTGTGAAAGGTTATTTTTGCCATAAGATTTTGAGCGTATAAATAATAAATTATATGATTGTATCTAAAAAATATAATTTCTTCAACCATCTCCGTATCATTATAAAACGAAAAGGCAAATTGACGATAACGGAATAAAATACATCAAATTGAGATACGTTGATTTAATTTGGTCGGATAATGTCTAAACCTGGTATCTATAAAAATAAATCTTCGATTTATAACAAGACGGAGGCTTTCTAAATTACGACTTACTATTTAGAAAATATTAAGACATTGAATTTCATAACCCTAAAATTTGATATTTTAGGTAGTTACCAGAATTGTTTTATGATTTTTCAGATGTGGTGCTTTGCATCCTGGCGACCAACTTCTGGCGTTCGACGATCATGTTATCGATGGCAATAATTACACGGCTGAAGAGGTCATGTGCTATTTAGAGAATTGCGAGGGCGGCTTTACTAGACTTCATGTAGCTCCAAGACACGTTATTGGACACGGTGGTGGGAGATTTACGAGAGGTGTGTGGCTCCATTTTTGTCTGAGATTGGACCTGCCAATTATTGCTGTTATAAAGTTCTGAAAATCTGATAGACAGCTAGTTTCTCTTTGGTGGTTCTTGTGTGTTTATAATTTAATCAAGCTAATAATATAATCTGCATCTAGTGATGTGATTATGTAATAATTTCCAAATTGGGATATCTTTTAGAGTGGCACTCGAAAATCCAAGCGTACTCCTCGAGCCAACCACCCTTAAAAGTCCTATGCATCTTGCCACTTATGTTACCTACTAAAAATTATATTAAAAATTTCAAGTATCTAACAAAAGTCTATCACTATATCTTCCATACAAATAACAGTGCTAATTCTTCGTCAGCCCGGAGGAAACTTCTTCTAAATAGCTTAACTTAATAGCAAACTGAAGCTCTGGCTTAAGTTAGAAGCGAAAATATTGAAATCGACCATTCAATCGCCGAAATAAATACTTTAAAAAAAAATTGTATGCGCAACTATTAATTAGATAGCAAAATGTAATAAACGTACACAAAAGGATAATAATAGGATATTAATCATCACCAAAAAATATTTTAAATTCTAAAACTGTCAAAAATACATGGCAGCATAAGCATATGGATTTACTTAGTATTATTTATGATATGAATGCTAAAGAAGGGTGATATAAAATTTTAAGTTGCATTACTTTATTATCATCTACTTTTAAAATATTACCAACATAAATTATACAGGATTACTTTTAAATTATCACTAAACTCAAAAAACTAGATATCTAAAATTAGTAATTACAACCAGTTACATAATTTTAAACAAAAAATATATTTTTAGTTTTTTATTGCACTATCATAACATTTATATGTCTATGTTTTATTTATTCACTAACGAAAGGACGTTGTTTGAATTATCTATGTATTGATATTGCGCATCTACTATTGAAAGTTAAATGCACCAAATTATCAAATTCATAAAACGAATTGTGTAGGATATGTTTTATGATGATGACAACTCTCCGGTTGACTAGTAGAGAATATCTAATGGCATCAAGTCTACCATTTGTATATTTTTGTTTGTGCAATAAAGATTAAATAAATAAATTTTGACTATCTTCAACCAGTTCACTTCAAACATTAAGTTCAGTATTAGATGATACGTAAAGAGGTGTGGAGTGCCAATTGTTGCGTAGATTCCCGTAACTTTTTATCATTAACTTATCACGTAACTTCAAACAAAAGCATCCAGAAAACAATAGAATTCTAACAACAAATAAGCATAATGTTTGTGGAAATATCAAATAAATACCCGCCATCTACTCACATTCCAAACAACCACTTAATAACGCACGTATGAACATCAAACTTCTCCGTATAACTCAAAAGGCTGAAGTTCTGATGTCTATAATGTGCTTCGGCTAATAAATGACTTGGTTCAATTCGGATCCAACAAGAATCGTTCCGAAGTATTTTGATACTGAGCTGAGTTACTGGGGGTTTTAAAGCAAAGTTTATAGTAATTACGCCTTTGAGTCCTCGCCTTCTTGATCTTTTTTTTTTTTTTTTTGTACCGAGGGGAACTGGCCTTAGCATTTCGCCGGTATCTTGACGATTGACCCAGCTAATCCCGGGCTCTCCACACTGCCATGGGCGATCCCAGTGCAGTGGGCCTACCTTGCAAAACCCCCCGTACCACCTTCGCGCATAGTCCGGTACCCGGTATCTTAAACTTAAGTCCCGGGTAGTCGCCTTCTTGATCTATTAGAGCTATTTACTTTCTTAAAACTTAACTTTAGATTCACTGTCTCATTTACTAAAAGGTTAGAATTGGCATTTTACCACCGTCAGTGTATTATGCGATTTGAAATAAGGATGTGACTATATTTTTTCGCGGTTAAGTAAATTTATGAATATAACCAGTGCTACAGCACACATGCAGAAAATCGATAGATTTCTGAACCAACTGATTGAAAGATATTTGAAATATCTATTTTTGTCTTTGTAGTGGTATCAAACAATTTTTGATTAGTCCAGGATCAGCACACAGGTATGATAGTATTGACGGATAAATTGGGTGTGCTTTGTGTTTAATTTTATCTATTTTAATACCCGAAAACTCCACAATAAATTTATAGGCACTATTTTTTAAACTTTGTATAAATTTGTTGTTGGTTTGGAAACATTTTTTCCAATATTGGTATTTTATTTAACGATATTGCCTGTTCATCCAAAACATTAATGTGTTTATTCGTAAATCATAATTAAGGTCTTCTTTTTATTACAGAAAATTCTATATCTGGTACCCTAAATACTAAGAAACACCGACAAAGAAACTATAGACAAAGTTCCATGCCAAAACTAGGACTACAGGATGATTATGGTAAAATTTTAACTAGTATCACTATATTGATTCCCAATTCCATTCTATGGAGGTCTATATTATTACTATTAGGTATAAAATAAACTTAAGGGCCTTTATATTGGTACACGATGGTTCATAAAATATATAGATAGTTAAGAAATAACATAAATTTTGGATATCTATGAGTAAAATAGCATCGAAACGTTTCCCCTAATATAATTAACAATCCCAAAATCAAGCAACAAAATTACAATTGGCCGCTTGTTACTGCAAAAACAACTTACACGGAGATGAAGGGAAGGTCAAGACGCCCGGTTTGTTTAGGGCCGCATCCAAATACATGTTTGTTGTTACCAACTACTGTGTCGATGTAAATAACAGACCAGTTTAATTAACCCAACAGACAACCAACAAAACTACATGAGCCTAAGCGTGTGTCGGACGGAATCATTAAATATTCAATTGGAAGTACCTCCTGGACAGAGCAGTGGGTTAGCGGTACACGAGGAGAATGCGACACTTGTGATCTCTCATGTAGCTGCCCAATCACCAGCTTACAGGTGCGAGTCGTACGCAATTCAGTAGACTTCAGTTTTAAAAAGGATGAGGATTGACTCTGATCATCTTCACCACATCGTTACATGCTGCAACTTGGAATAGTGCAAGAATCCAAAACTTGCAGCAAGCTTGAATAGTCTTTAAATCAAGGTTTTTAGTTTGCATACCACATAGTATGTAATGAAGAGAATTGACTTTGAGCAAACTTAATATCGGTTATTCAGTCTATGTACTCGTTAAAGTTGATAAACTCTTTTCTATTAAATTAAATTCTATGAAAAATGTTTTTTTTTTTCTATTTTTAGCCTATTAGATATTTTGGAATATCACATTGTAGGAGCCTACTTGAGATAAAATAAAACAAGAAATACAAAACGAATACAAATTAATGAATTCAAACAAGATTTTAATAGCATTCATTTTTGCAGGTCTGGGTGTCTCCAAATAAGAGATAGGGTGATGTCAATCAATGGACATGAAAATCTCACCGTTGATGTTGCTAATGAAATCTTACAACGTAGAAATGACTCGCACAATGCCAAATATTTAACTTTGAATGTCGAATTCAGTATGCCTAACACTATAGAAGCATCTAGTGGTGTGTTTAATGTTAAATTGGCCAAAACGACAGCCGGGTTAGGTGTTACAATAACAGGTAACTATTAAGCTGCCACTTTTGTATTAATAAAATTATTAGTTAATAGTATTGAAATAAATCGGGAAATTAAAGGTTAATTTACATTTTAAAAGGATCTTTGTTATTTAGCAATGAAGTTCGTTAGTTATATATTCATTTGATCTTTCCAAAGGATGTAAGCAAAAGTTGTTGAGTAACGAAGAACCAATGGTCATATCGGATATTAAACCTGGATCTGTAGCTCACCGAAGTGGTGCACTGGCACCAGGAGACCAACTGCTAGCTATCAATGGCCAACCACTGCACAACCTTTCACTGGTATATGATTCTAATTATAAATATTTCAATAATTATAATTTACTTCATAATATTAAATTTGCCAGGATATTAAAATATTTATCAATTACATTAATACTTTTCAGGACACAGCTTTTAATATTTTGCAAAATTCACCTGAAGACATAATAACACTTAAAATTCGGAAACGTGATTTAACAGAAGATTGGTCAAACATTCACAAGCAAAACGCTAAACTCACGTTACAGAGTTTTAGTAATATAGAAATCAAAGCCGTAGTTCATAGCGGTGAAGATTCCGGTCACCATACTGATAGTCCAAATAATAGTGCAAAGGAAAGTGAAAGAAGTAATGGTAGTAATGAAAACGGCAATACAGCTGTTTTTACAATTGAACTAATTAAACAAGAAAATGGACCCTTAGGTCTCACAATCGCTGGCAGCGAAGATGTTAACCAGCCTATTTTACTTAGTGGATTAGTTGAAGGTAAGTATAATGACGATAAAAATAATCACAACGCTTTTTTATGAAATGAAACAGCAAGATTATTATTTTTTGTTTGAATTTTCGCAGGTGGCGTAGCAGAAAAATGTGGAAAATTAGCGATAGGTGACGAATTGCTGACAATAAACGGTGAAAGTGTTCTAAACAAACCACTGTCAGAAGCTATTAAACTTTTACAACAGAGTGGACAAAGGGTGCAACTGCAGCTCTGTAGAAAAATGACAGGTAATTACAAGGCAAATTTTTTTAATATTTAATGTTAATATATTATGAGCTGCATTATTTCGAAGGTTTTCATTATATTATACTGAATTAAGTTAACTATAATAACTAAGGAGCTTTTTTTAGTATTTTTTTAGACATTAAATATTAACATTTGATAGAAGAGTCGGAAAATTAAATAATATTATAAATTAATAGGACCGCCGGAGAGTGCTGAATGCAGTGCAAGAGATTCGAGTCATTCCACATCTAGCCCTGGACTATCCAACGACAGTGCAGTGGAATCTTGGGATCAGAATACTCCAGTCAGAACTAGTGCAAATTGTGGTAATGTATATTATGAACTATTTAGTTAACTTATATATATTTATCATACATACTCGTAAATATATCAGACGTAATCTTAGTCTGATCAATAGCCGTAATTTTTTTATATATATATATATTTTTTAGTTCAGAACTTATAATTACAAAACTTCAAGATACTTAACAAGAACAATTAATTAGTTCACGTTCGTGTTTTGCTTAATTAGCAAAGCGGTTGTTTATTAAAACTTTAATTGAATTTTAATTGCAGCTACATCAGACGTTATAGAGTATGCAGTACCAGACAAAACTCGGATAGTTGACAAACAGCCGTACTCACCTACAGATGAAGATAAACTTCTGGCTTCCAACTACAATTCAGCTGCACCTTACAGCGTTAATGATTTACCTTTACCTAACTATTCTCTGAACAACTCTCTCAAAACTTTTCATTATGAAAACACATGCATCATACCAGAGAGCACCATCAAGAATAAAAATCTCACAAGAGAAGACGATGTACAACAAATTGAAATATTAACAACAAACATGAAAGATTGCCACATACATAATATGGAGAGATCCTCTTGCAAATGTGACTATGTTCATATGGGTCCGTATGGGATAGTGTCACCGAAGAACAGACGCCAAAATTGGGATAGTGACTATTTGAATAACGGAATATACACGGTAACTACACCCCAAAAGTCGCCGCATAAACCAATCATGCCAGGAACGAGTTTTCAGTTTTCAACAAGTCCCATTTACGAAAATGATGTGCCAGGTAATTAATATAACTAAGTTGAAAGTATTTTTTTCTTGATTGTATTCGATTTTTTATAATGTTTTGAAATTAATCATAATAATTGTAAAAAATCAGGATCCTCTTTGCTGCAAACAAACAATCGATATTTCCCCTTTATCATATTTTTTTATTTATTTATTTTATTTCACTTCTTCCACAAAATACACAAAATTATCAATCAATCAAATCAATCAAATAATTTATTGGCCATATAACTCAGAAGGTTACACACGGCAAGTCTTTTACAATAAGCATATTAAATTAATAATACGAGGGTCAAACTGAAAGTTCTTAGAACTGGCCACTTATAAACAATATAATAAAAAAATAATTCTAAAATTTGAAAATATAACTCTTTGCCAATATTACTGAGTATATATTTCATTCATTTGTCATTTGTTTTACGATTTGGCGGCAAATTGAAAATTGTCTGTGTCACGTCATCATGAATTTAACACGAGAAAATTTTCGTGCAATGATTTTTTATGACTTTCGATGTCATTTAAGTCAACAAGAAAGTTATGATAGACTACGATTGGCCTTTCACGATGAAGCCCCATCTCGTGCGACTGTTTACAACTGGTTTAATGAGTTTAAACGTGGTCGCACTAATCTCACTGATGATTTACCTTCACCACGACAACGCCTCGTCGCACACCGCCAAGCGAACGATCGACTATTTGGCGACATCAAACGTTGAATTACTGGGTCACCCGCCGTATAGCCCCGACCTCGCGCCTTGTGATTTTTATTTATTTCCAAAAATTAAAGAAAAACTTAAAGGAAAGCGGTTTATGAATGCTGAAGAAGCGGTGGCTGCGTATCGCGATGCCATTGAAGAGACCCCTAAGGACGAGTGGGCAAAGTGCTTTTCCCAGTGGTTCCATCGCATGCAGCGGTGTATTGACGTGAATGGACAATATTTTGAAAAGATATAATAAAACTAATAACTGGCTAATGTAATCAGTTTTTGATTTTCTAAGAACTTTCAGTTTGACCCTCGTAAAGGTTTAAATCATGCAGGTCAAATCATTGTAAGTAGGAATGTCAAATAAATTAAGTATCTTAACAATGTCAAAATGGTTTATTTTTCCGATCCTTAATAATCAATTATATCACAGTCAATTCAATTACAATTAAATTACAACATCACAAATTAGATTATACAAACATAGATTATATATAATTTTATGTCATAAAATATTGATGATTATTATATCTTGTCATCTACCATAGAGATCTAGTCAATTTCTTATCTCACCCATCTTTATGTAGGAATGAATATTCATCCAAACGCATAGACATAAATTCATTTAAAGAGTATAAGGGATGCTGAATAAAAATATATTTAATTGTTCTTTCGAATTCGTCGTCATTCATGTTTTTGATACAGAGGGGAAGTTTATTATACATTATAATTTTATTATACATGCCTTGTTTTTGTACCTTTGCCAATCTTGTTTTAGGCAAACACAATCGTACCTTATTACGTAAATTATAGCTATGGATGTCCATCTTTCTCAAATGTGAATCCCGATCATGGTGTATTTCTATTAAACATTTATAAATGTATAAAGAAATAATTGTCATTATTTTATTTTGTTTAAAATAAGGTTTGGCTGACGTACGCTTGCGCAAACCATTTATAATTCGTAATGACCTTTTTTGGCATTTTAGTACACGATTTATATCAGAAGCATTTCCCCAGACTGTCACCTCGTAACTTAATAGGGAGTGCACATAAGCATAATACACTGTCATTAATGTTTTTTTTATTGGTTACGGGCTTCAGTTTTTGTAGGTGCGTAGTTTGCACTGGCTAGTTTTTTGCATAGCTTGTTTATATGATAAGAGTGGCTCTTAGTATGGTCTAAGGTATAACCTAGAAAAGTATTATTTGTAACAAGTACGTTCTCAGATAGCCGTTTTCTAACCTGATAATGCATTATTGTACTTTTATTAGCATTCAGTAATATGCCATTAGCCTAAAACCATTCCTTAAAAATATCCACAGCTATCTCAATTTTTGCTCGAGTTTATTTTGCGACTTGTCCTTTATTCCGAGATGAGTATCATCAGCAAATAAGCTGGTGAATGCCCACTCAGGGACCGAGTTTACTAAGTCATTTATATATATTAAAATAATTAATATACGTTCACAGATTTTTTCTAATTTGTTTTAACAATATGTTTGTGGGAGACTGCTGCCCAAGCTAAGCATTTTAACTGCCTGTAATTCAGGCCAGCAGGCTCACCACCTCTTAGAATACAGTTTTACTTCACCATTATCAAAATCCTCGAACGCACAAAACATTTTGTCTTAATTATCTTTATATTAGTATATAAAAAATAAAGTCATTTCTGTTATAAAAGCATAAATTATTATTATTATATTTGATAAATTTTTCTATTCACAATGATCAATGGTTAGAGATTACGAAAACTGAAAAAAGAGATTGCGCCCGGATTGCGAAAGGTCGTGTGTTCGAATCCCATCTCGGGGTGGTGGTGTTTAGCATTTTTCATAGGATATTTATTATTTCAGGCTTATACAACAGCGACACAATTTCTCCAACACGAGGCTCCATTCACCACGTCATTTTATACAAAGATGCCATATATGACGATTATGGATTCTCAGTGTCAGACGGATTATACGAGAGAGGAGTTTATATAAACAGAATTAGGAAAGGTGGTCCGGCGGATATAGTTGGTCTGCTCAGACCTTACGACAGAATATTGCAGGTGAGAGTCTGACGGAAACCAATTATCCGTTTTTTTTAAGTCTCGTTACTTTTTTATTAATGAATTTTATTGTAAGTATAACAAATAAAATGCGGTCAATGTTATTAGAATACTTCAGTTCAGTTCAGTTTTCTTTACTGAATACTACCTACCAACACCAATTTTAGTGGGATTCAATGAATGATAGTTAATACTTAATTTATACTATCAGATTTCTAGCAGCAACTTTTCAGTTTCTTCAATACAAATGTCACCCCTATTGCAACCCCTTGGGGGTAGAATCGCTGCAGGATCTGCAAAAAATGCTTTTCGTCCTGCTGAAACTGCCAAAATGCCTGAAGACCCAGGTATTCAAACAAAGTGAAAAGTGGAACATGGCAGTGAAACTGGCCCATCGACTAAATGTCACTCAGCGAGCTATGGAAAGGTCTATGCTCGGAGTTTCTCTAAAGGATAAAATCCGGAATGATGGCATCCGACAGTAGACTAAATTGATGGATGTTCATTCATCAGAAAATAACTTAAATTCAATTTGATTGAGACATTATTGTTTATATTTTGGTAAATTCTTTTACTCAGGTCAATGGAACCAGGACAGTTGACTACGATTGCTGCTTGACGGTACCCCTTATCGCCTCAGCGGGCGATCGCTTAGAAATCGTGGTTCAAAGGCTAGCCTCATCCCGAGTGAGTATATTTATGTATGGAATCAAATCAAATAAAGAGATTGGGCCATCATCCATCAAGCGGGGGCAATGCAGATTAGTGAGTGTTAATGACTACAAATGCAACCGAAATCAATGGCTCAACATGTTTTAGAAAGCACGTAGAGTTCGTCCGTGTTTTTATTTGAGAGGCTTACTATTCAACTTATAGAACTTGCCGTATATAGACAAGTCCACTCTTTGTTATAATGCAATTAAAAGTAAATATTTAAAAACCATATTTTATGTGATTTGTGACTGTTGTCTTGCAAAGAATCTGGTGTAAAGTATTGTAGTAGTAACTGTACCTTTTAAATAACAAAATCTGCGGTATTTTTATCGCTTTATTTTTTTTTCAGGACCTCAAAAACCAAAGGTTAGTCGACTGTTCCAGCCCAAGTGACAGTAGTATTGTAACCAAAACTATCTAGTGTATAACCCGACTTTAGTGAAACTAAACCAAAGACATACAGCTAAAGTACTTAAAGACGTGTATTGAAACCATCATTAGTCAAAATAATTAATAGTAATAATAAAGTAGGTTTGATGTTAATAAATGAAACGAAAAATTCATTTATTGAATTGTATGTTTGCTTACTCTGAGCAAGCAATAAAGTATTAAATACTATTGAAATTGTGTCCTAATTACTTTCTACTAATAAAATTTAACTATAAAATTTAACCGAAATTGTGAAACATTAAAATTGTAACAATGTGAAATACTTAATGAAAATGTAATTTTAACATTATCAATAAGACTTAGTAAATGTTTAGGATAATTACGTTTATAATAACATATAAATAAGGCACACTCGAAAAATGTTTATAATAAAATGTGCTAAAAATGAGTGTTATCTGTGTATTTGTTAATTAAGTCGTTGTTTTAGTGAACCCAAATCGTGCCTACATGTTTAAATAGTTTCAGAATTAGACAAATTTAATTTATGGAGATTTAATCTGCCCTGTATTAGCTATGAGATATATAATGTTTATTTTATAATACAAATCCAAGTCATAGTTGTTATTGCAGTCAGCATTACATTTATCATCGCATAGATTTTTAAATAGATGTCGTCTCCAACTGTCAAGTTACATATGACGCAGACAACTGGTTAAAACAGCTGATCAATTGGACGGCTAGTTTTTGAATTGAATGTCGCTTTTAAGTTATTACCTATTTGTTTTGTAGTTAAACCATCATGACATTAAAACTTAAAATAATATAAAATAGTATCAACAGTCGTTATATTTCTTGGTTATTCAGAGTTATTTTTATTCTAAAAGATGACAACATAAGTTAATAGTGTTATTAATAAGTGATAACCAATAGACTTCCATGTGAGAGATTCAAGGAAACTATAATTTCAGTTCAGTCAACTGGCTGTTTTTATTAGTTGATTACGGCATATAGTGAAACGTGGATAAAGTTGATAAGGTCTTACTAATAAGCAATATGTAAGCGTTGTTTAGTAATTATAGTGTTGTGTCTTTATTAATCAAACCATAAGTCACATTGGAGTGAATTTTGAACAAAGTTTTGTTCAAACTTTATTTACACGTAACACGTTGCTTAATTCGTTCTACTCATACAGTTACTTAAAGAACGGTTGTAAGTTTCTTAAAAGCAAGGATATTAGCGTTTAATTAGATAAAACTTTAGATAATTTCATGGAAATTACTCTATTGTCATGTTTAAAATCGGTTTTTGGAGATAGACTTTATCAGTTAGACTGTGTGCCTTCGCTGTTTAGTGTTTTTAGATACAATATTTAATTGAAAAAAGTATTTATGTTGTAACTGAATTACACTTTCTTAAAGATTAATTTAATTAAATATATAAAATTTGATTTTAAAATCGGTATCGGCAAAATTTTCGCTCGGCAGCGTGCCAAAATGTTTTCTGCTACCTCACCAAGTTATTTTCACAATCTTATGAATTTCTAAGTTACTATTTGCATTTCGCATTCGTAAAGTAATATCTACTGCAAAATGCAGTTTAGGATATTGAAACTTGAAAATATTGCACATGTACTCTGTTACATAAAAATTCAATGGCAAACAAAAGAAACAAAGGTTTATAAATTGAATTATAATAAGCTGTAGTGTCGATCTTATAATTATACTGTATATAAAAAATCATTTCCATCACAATTTATGTGAATAATATAAAAAAAAAATAACGAAATGTACATAATATAGTGATTGTAGTATTACTGTTGTTAAATCAGACTGATAGCAAGTTTATATAGTTTAGACATTGTATTATAATAGTTAATAGGGATATTTTGATCTTTATCTCTCTGAGTCTTACAGTTGATAGTCTCTTACCAAAGTTTAATAATAAGATATAAAATGTGAAGCTAAACTATTACTTAGAAAAGGAGGACTTCTTAAACGTACATTTAATTATAGTGTTGTAAAGATTTTTTAGATAGATAATTTGATCAAAACATTGTAAATTATCCTTCTTAATATATTTGTGGTTTTTAAAAAGTGTTGGTTGATAAAGTAAGCCATATATGACGTTTATTCATAAGTGCAGGTTACAATGTCTTTTGTCTTTCCAATAATTTAGATTTTGATAGTATTAGGGTTTTTTCCAAATTCCATTTAAAATATATTCTTGATGAACCCATGACCTTTCGCAATCCAAGCAAAATCATCAGATCGAGTACCATCTTAGTGTTTTTTAAGACATTTTTTCATTAAGCACGTTTTTCAGTGTAGTATTGTGATTGTAAAATTGATCAAATATAATAATTCCGTTTAATGATTATTCTTAACAATGATCATTCGAACATACACAACTAAAATATTGGTTTCAGCATTAGAATTAATGCAATTAACATACGTATTATTATTTCTTCTAACTTATTCAGAAATTGATAATGTCAAGTTAACATACGTTTATTTGGACGACATTATGCTAAAATTTTATTGTATTTTTTTTCATTGTACCTGTACATTATTCGGCTTATATATTTTTAAGAGACTGGTGTGTTGGTTTAGTAAATTTAATCATAATACATTCGCCCGTATTTATATGTAGATAGTTAGTAATTTTTTACATTTTATTTTTATACCCTTAAATTTTAAGAATAATTTATATTATTGTCAATTAATGTGTAATTAATTGTGAAATAGAGGAAAGCCTAGCTAACGCAATCTGGTTAATAAAATGCGCGTGAATGAAATTTTAAATTTTTTATTATACAATAATGTTAAGAATCTACCTATCCACGTTCCTATCCCTAAAATTAGGTCACCTCTGTGGTAGAGTAACTTGTGGTAGAGTTGATATAATGGTTTCAAAATTGATTCCAAGTATGAATAGCTAGCGAGATCAATGTAAAAAGTCTTAATTGGAAGTGGAACAACTTATCCAGTCGCTTTAGAATCGAAATTCTAAGGAGCAGTTATGCTTTCTGTGTTTATTCTCGAGATTAGCATAATACACTTGTAGTCCCACCACAGATAACCTCCAATAGATACCACATGATGATTTTTTTATTAAAAAATAAAGATGCCAATCTTAGCGGTAACTGCGGATACGCTATTGGCTAGTAGAAGGACACGTATTCCGTAATGATGGGAACCATAACGTATTAAAGGCGTGTCGATATTTGATCGATATTAAATGTTACTATTAGATATCATAAAAAAATATATATATTATATTTATTTTTTTTAATTCACAATTTATATCACTGTTAACGAATTGATGGATAAGACATCCAACGGCAAGGTTTGTATCAGTCGGTAAGAATAAATTTCAAAAATCGATTTTGTACAAAGAAATACTTTTGAATAAGTTGTAATTACAATAAGCGAACATCATCACATTTTAGATATTCAATACAAGCCAAAACGTGAATTTATAACCCCGATAGAAAAAAAAACAGTTCCTCTAAAAATAACAATTTTTACATTTCCTGTAGCACTGGTTTACCTTCTACACTTTCTAATTTAAAGCTATGATAAAATGCACTGAGACTCAAAACATACATAAGCGCCACCGCGCCTTTTCATTAATAATAATTAATGAAATCTAAAACTACATATGTTCTGAAATATCTTAAACTAGTATATATAGGTACAGTAGATACTACATGTGAAATATTGTTTATTAACCTCGAAGTACGTTTGTGTACTAATCTGTGCACCGAGTACAAATTTTTCCTGTAATACTAACAATACCAATCAATGTTACGTATGGAACACATATATATACATATCGTTATCGATCATACCTAAAAAAACATGCAGAAGGGATACTAGTGTGACACGTGTCTTTGTTAGAATGAAATAAATATACTCAATCAGTAATGAGCAGTGGTCGGAATTAGGTAGAGTTATTCATGTACTTACACTGATTTCATACAGCGAAATAATTAAGTGGATATGCCTCAAATCCCGAGATTAATTTTAAAGAGCAGAAAAAATCCCGTGATTTTTTAAATAAAAAGTTATTTACTTTTACACAATTTAAACTACTGCACGCACGACGTTGCCAAGCTTACATCAATGACATCGGATGTCCAAAGATGTCCAAGATTGTCCATTAGAAATCCCGGGAAGGTCCACATTAATATCAACATTTCGATGCAAGTACATAAATAACTCTACCTAATTCCGACCTCTGGTAATGAGAGAAAGAGATGGATGTCAAGAATACATCAAGTGTTGCATTTTTACAAAGTTACCTTTAATTGTCTTTTATACCTTGAACTCCACGAGACAAAAATACAAATAAAATTAATATTACTGGTGAAAAGTTACACCATATTTCTTGCAATTAGATGTTCTGGAATTAAAAAAGAAAAACGAGATGATAGTGATTCTAGAATATAAAACAAAAAATCAAGAAATTAGAAAGAACGTTGTTAAAAGGACGACGACGCAGATTATCAAAGTATATAAGATTTATGTTTTATGCAATTACTCAATTTTGATTTCATGATTTTCTACGTTACCATGTTTTTAAAACAATTTTAATTAATACCAAAACAACTTTAATATCATATCTATCAAAAATGTATATAGTACTACTGTAGTAATAATAATTTTCCTTTGCATTTTTTCTCGCACTTCGGATTCACGATGTTACAACTGAATTCAACTTATCCGTTATAACTTCACGGTACTTAGTATAATATCTTTTATTTAACAAGGGTGACGGTGACATGATTACCTTACCTACAAATTTAAATAATAGCATGTCTCGGATAAGCTATATCTGTATACTTTTGCGAAAAAACACTAAAAACCCAGTATTACTGAAATTACTAAAGACTTCGAAGGTGAAAGAGCCTCCATCTTTGAACAGACAGCCGCCTTCGTCCTCATCGCGACAACCGCGCGTGCGCACGAGCATCACTCGCCGTCGCCAACAGACGTATCGATAAATTACGCCGGTAGGATATCTTGCTATCTTAACCTGTGGTCACTATTGACATAAGTGTAATGTATGTAAGGGGTTATAAAATTCATTTTTGTTAAACACCTTATTAATATTTGATACCAATATGTCCCAGCTATTCTAAAACAGAATTTGATAATTTTTATTCAAATGTAAAAAAAAATTAATGCCCATAGGAAGATTCTTTATTTAACCCATATTAGGATCATTTTATATCTAGTATATTTTTAATTCCGAAGCCGAATGGTAAATCATGCCTTATTTTTTATTAAAAAATCTAAACATATTCATAAATATAAAGCATTTCTAATTAGATTTTTGTATTGTCATAAAACTTATGTCAAAGAATTGTTTTATGTCAATGGTGGATCTTAAAGATGCCTATTTTTGTAATTAAGATCTAGGGCGACTCCGAAAAGTATCTTAGATTTTAATGGAATACTTTTTTTATATGAATTTAATGTTTATTTAAGAAATAAAACTCCAAGTATATCTTGTTATTTTTAGGCTTCATTATAAACTCTGAAAGACAAATTAAGAGACTAGCCTGTGCTGGAAAAACAGTTGAACATGAATTATGAATTAATAAATTATTGGCAACATTAATTGGACTTAAAATTTTTGTCAAAAGATTTAAAAATTGACAAATTACTTTACGAATCGATAACACAACATATTTATGATTAATCGAACTTACCTATAAGTGAAGTTCTATCATAATTATGAGAGGTATTTCAATCTTTAACCACCTATGAGGAAGGCCCGAGTCTATGCACAGGAGACGTAAGAGGGCTGATGATGATATCGCTAAGATGGAGATTAGATTTCTATCAGTCATTATTAAAAAAAAAGTATTATAAAAATCTCTATGACGGAATCTGTGATAGTTTGTCAGGCCCGAAAAAAATGGGTGACCTTAAATTTACTATCTTGATTTATTTGTGCTTCGAAAGGCACATTGATTTCATGGCACTTACAACACTGACAAAATATCAGTAACTTAACAAAAACAAGATACATAGTATCAATCCCGTAAAAAAAAAAAACTATCGTTCTAATGAGGAATACACGGACAAGGGGCTCTGTTATAGTTACAATTAAAAATATATTTCAACAAATCAATATATAGCAAATATAAATTAATTACTTTTAAGATACCAAATACCCAAATTCAGTAAAATATCAAACATTGTGTAAATTTATAATGGCAGTAATAATTTACATATAGAATGCGTATTTTATTATTTCCAATACAAATTCCTGGAAGTCGATTTATAAAATAGTACAAGAAGCAGTGCCAATAAATTTAATGGCACGTGCCACTCTAACAATTGTAACATTTCCTAACTAAAACAGCTACGTAAACTGTACGTTCACGAAAGTTTTACCATTGTTCAATTGTTGATTCAACAGACAAAACTTTAGTTGTTTCACAACACTATCTGAAGCTATTTGAGCTCAAAAGCAAGTACATGAAATTTCTTGCATAGTTATCTTGCTAAATAGGTTTATAATCAAGGCGGTTGTGTAATAAAAACCTTCGTTAAAATCACCCCAATAGCTTCCGTTATATAGATTGATTAATATAAGCTTTGCTGCTCTCATAGAAGATCAATTGACCATAGTCTTTATTAACTATGGACCTAACTTTTGTGCTACTCTTATAACTAGAGAACCCGTCTTTTCTTAGAATATTGATACTTAATTTGTTTGCTTTGAAAATTATTTGTAACATTTCAAATTATTGCAATTAATCGTTGTTACACTTTAGGTTTAAAACAGTTTAGGTTACGATTTGATTAGGGGTTTGATATGTAATATTGGTAACTTATAAATCTGCATAGATTTCGAAAATACCTTTTGCACAGAAGTCTTACTGCAAGCACTTATTCGAAAACTTATCTAAACTCATATTATTTTTCTTTGCAATCGGTATTCTTCACTTTGTCCTTATTTCTCTTGCAAATTGTTCATATAACATTTTAAATCTCGAAGTTATTTCTTGTAATTAATAAAAAAAAAGGATAAAACAATATTACATTTTTAATGTTATTATGTCATACAGAGATTATTAAAATTGTAAGGCTAGATATCACGTACCTCACGTGGCCATCTCACAAATTATATATGCGGTCAATAATCTGTTGACCCACATCATCCCACCCTTATTACGAAGGGTTACGTCACTCAATTCAATACTCATACACGGGATATATTTTCCCGGTGACAGGATAAGTTTGCCGGCGCCCCGGAGGCTGCACAAAATTTCCATTTTCCACGCGATTTGCCACAAATTAATGCCCTCAACCCGTCCGCGCCTCGTCGATTTATAGCCGGATTTGCATCTACTGACTTGGGGTTGAATTTTTTTTAAAGGGTATATTCTGGTTGCGTTTGCTACACTTAATTTTTTTAAAGTCCATGAAAACTTTCATGATAACACTCGTGAATTGCATCGGAGTGAAAGAACATAATAAGTTCATGTTTCTTAAAAGAATTCATATGTATTTCATTCAATATTTACGATGTCACTATCCAAAAGAATAGTACGGCATCTCGGTTATGAATTTCTCTAATAATAATAACAATATATTGTTCGAGTCCCACATTAATTAAAGAACGTAATTTCCAAGATACCTATAAAAAATAATATGATTTTGACTCTTGAACCTCACTGTTGATGATCCTGAATCCGGCGTGCCATTACTTATATTGATTATTACCAGCAGCTCTTTACCATAATCAGTTAGTTCTACTAATACGCGATGGCAAAAACAAAATGTTTTTTGGAAGAAGCTAAATTATAATATTGCCTAACGAGTAAGTAAACAATTGTTGCTGTTGACTCTATAAGGGTGACGGAAAATTTTAAATTACGCACATACTCGTAATTACGAGTAAAACTTTAAGATTGATGTAACTTTCAAGTAGAACTAAGTAGTAAAACTATGGGCAATCAAAAAGCTAGGCCAAGGTACTCGGAAATCATGTAGGTACTAAGTTATCGTTGTCACGAGACATTTTATTCTTATTCTATTTTTCATAATTTATAGATCAAATGTAAGGCTATTCAACTTTTGTGGCGTTCAACCGAACAATGCACGCTCGCATGGCGATACAAAAAGCAAAGAGTATAAATTTGAAGATTTAATTCTATTTTATTTATATTATATTTACATTTATATTTATTATCAGAGAAGATCAAGAAATGTGCAGTCAGGACTTGCTGTACCTGAAATAGGTCGACATATTATTGCTTTCAATTTTATTACAGTAAGGTAAGCAAAACTGAACCACGCTTGAATTACATAAGTAATGAATTAATCGTACCGCTAGATAACGCGATAAAGCTTAAGCTGAGCTCTGAGATTATACTGTTTATATCTGGCATCAAGCAGAGGATAAGTCAGGTAAGGTTTAACCAAAGCCGGAGCGTTAACGCAGTTAAGATGTTTACCACTGATGCCGACGGGATTTCAGGATTAACAACTGGAAGTGACCAAATCAGTTTTTGGGCAGTGTTTACTGTTGATCGCAGGTGGCCTTTACAGTGTAACCG